AAAAAAAAAAAAACAAAAAAACAAAACCAGTGAGGGCCATAAACTAAAATTTTGTTAAGAAAAAGATTTTATACAAAATAAGTAAGTCTTGAATAACAGGTAAACCACAGCAGATGCACTACTTTAAGACCTTCAAATTACTCCTGAGATGAAAGATTTGCCACATTGTAAAAGCAAAGAAAGCTTCTCCCCATACAACAATGATCTGTATACTTAAGAGTACAAAGAGCAGCTCCATACACAACCGCTGTCCAGGATCATCTCTCCATTGAAAACAAGTGGCGGTAAATTAACTTTCATCTAAAAAATGAACAACTTGTGTCACAAACACGCATCACATTCACTCCCACATCCGCTACCTTTTCTGCCCCTCACCTGATGCACCAGAAAGGTGATTAATCTACCCAACATTGAAGTAACCAGCACAGCTATATAGAACCAGATCCAAGCAATGTTGGCAGAAAACTGCCATGAATATACAACAGGACAAAAACAGAAAATACTACTTTCATAAACTTGCATTGTTCAGTAACCATTACGTGTTCACTAATAAATGGCTAAAACCATGTGTACCAATCGAACTACTCTTTCTGTCCAGAACATATCAGCACGAAATAACATTTCAAAAGCACTCCATTGTGGCAGTCACAATGAAGAAATTACAGTACTTTTACTTAACAGGTCTCGCATAAATTGCTAACGACATATAAAATGTGCCCACAAAATCAAAATTTCTTATTAGAATAAAAATTTAGAAACAATACTGGTAGAGGAAGCTCGAAGAGTCATAATCTCAACCCAATAACAACGTAAACAGTCGGCAAAAACAACACCACCCAACGATTTTTTCTTTTTAAAACCTGTTTCCATAGAAGTGCAGAAAAAAAAAGCAATAATAAACCACAAGTGATGACTCATAGCCAGCCGCAGCAATTACGGCCACATCCACCGCTGTACGAAAAAACTGCAACCTCTTATTCAAACAACCAACAACAACAGCTGCTTGGCTTTTTTTTCCTTAATACATTTTATTGAGCACGTATTCATTTGAAAAGCTAATTTTCTTCCAATACTGTAGCTCATTTTTACTGTAAAACAGTCTAGAAGTTTCTTGCTGCTTTTCGTAAAACAACACAACGAATTGCAGATTCAAAAGCCTTTATATACAAGAATAGTTCAAAATCCACTAAAAAACACCTAGCAAAAGTATTTGCATATACAGCCCTTATATTTGGGCAACATGCGTTGAGAATCCTAGCGTACTCATTCGGCAGAATACGGGTCGCCTTCAAAGCCATATCACTGAAAAAGATTAATTTAAGGAAGATTGATGAGCGGTTGTCATACTGACTAATTTTGCAACTAAATTTGCTTATTTATGGTTCAATACAGTTCTTCTAAATCCAGCTGTGAATCCAAACCTTATAAGGACAAATTCCCTTAATTACAACTCATCACAAAGTCAGATGATATATTAAATATCTTTTATATATATATATATATATATATATATATAT